CCAAGAACGCGAAACAAAAGGAAGCAAACTTAAAAGTCGATATTTCGTAACTTTTCGTCGCCCATTTAGCATTAGACCTAATAATGAACTTTGAGCACTTCGCTGCGCACGCTCTAAAAATTACTTCGTTAACTAATCGCTGTCTAAAAAAAATGTTTTTCACCGTTTGTGATGAAGTATTATAGCAGCCAACAATTACACCTTCAGAAGAGTGTTTAACCTTAAGAGTAAAATAAATTAAAATTATTTTATTCACTTTTTGGCGTAGGAAGCTTAGCCATTACAAAGTATACAAGCAAAATACCCGGGTTTTCTTCATATCCAATCCTTGTAAAAGAGGAAAAAGATTCATTTTTTTATAAACCACGGTCTTTACGATTATTACTTTTAACGATTATTTACTCTGAAGCATAATTAATAATCGTAAGTTGTATTTTACAGTACATTTTTATTTGAATTTTTAAATCGCATACACTGTAACTTGCGTTTAACGAACCAATTCTGCCGCATCGCTACTGGCCTCTGGCAGAATATGTTACGAACCAATCTGCTCTTTGCGGTTAGCGAAAAATAATGATTGTGGTGTCTACACCAATATACTATTTTAATTATTCATTTTCCGCCTTTTTAATGTATTAATCTCTACCAAATTTGTGAAGGACAATGCGACAATCCTGAAAACCAGCCTGCAAATATTCATACACTAGTTTTGTGGTATCGACGCCTGTTATCTGTCTCTGAATTCATTGATATTAGTGTAAATTACTTGTTCCTTCACAAATTCGCACCTTGAACACGAGCGAGCGCGTTAAACGAAAGTCGTGTACCCAATTCCTTCTCGCAACAACACCACCACCACACCGCCATCGGCGAGCAGGTGAAGCCATCGTGCGAAACGCAGCACCCGAGCCCATTCCCCAGGGGCGTTTCGCGCCGTCTCTATGCGAAACCACTGTAACTGCAAGTGCGCTGTTGGGAGACCGTGCCGGCGCCAACCTCGCCGCGCCACCCGCGCCCTAAGCGGATGAAGCGATATCTTCTCACGGCCCATGAGCCTCGACGGCGCGGCGCGCGCTAAAAGCAAATGGCTCCGAACGAATCGCGAACGAATCTGAGAGCCGAACCGTGCGCGCGCGCGCGACTCCGAAATGCATCCCGAGAAACCAAAAAAAAAAGTGGAAAAAAATAAAGGAAGAAGGAAAGATGGGTGGGGGAGGTAAAAGGCGGCGAGCGGAAGAAAGATTCTCGCGGGAGAGACGCGGCTCGCGCAGCCGCGTTAACCTGCAACGCGCGAAGCAGATACACGCGACTCGGGGCGATTCCAGGCGCACTCCCTCGAACCAGACTTTGCACTTTGGGAGAAAAGGAGCCCGCGCCGACGATCGGTCCGGGCGGACGGGGGTGGGGTGTGGGTGGGGGGGGGGCAGTGGGTGCGTGCGATGAGAAGGGGTGGCGGGGGCGCTTGAGATGGCCAGAGACGAGCCACAAGAACAGCGCGGGCTGCTGTGGAGGAAGTGGAGACGGCACTTTGGGGAATTAAGAGTAGAACGTGATGAAGTAAATTCGGAAATGTGAATTTAATAAAAACAGAACACGTCTGTTTTCAAATACCAGCATATCGATATTGTAATACTGAAAGACAAAAACCGGTGAGTGATTTTATATAAATAGTATGGCATAAATTCGTAACAAAGCAAATGTTGGAAATAACTGGGTAACTAGAGCATTTGCCACACATATTGGATAAAGGTGTATGAAAGACGATGCATTGATCATTTCGAATCTCATTCACCTAATGTAGGCATTAGTTGCAGGACGGTAGCTGAAGTAAGGCGATTATCGGCGAATGCGGCGTCTTGTGATGGCAAGAAACACGTCGGAAAAAAGGGTGAGAAAACGTTGCTCAGACGCAGGGTTATTTTATGTAAATCGCAATGTGACGAGACCCGTGCCTAGTCGCGAACATGGAAACAAAGAGAGCGGCGTCAACATTTATACCGTTTACCATATATCACCTCGTATTCTTCGTCGTCGTTCCGTATTTCACCTACCCTAGCTACCTCGGGGTTGGTTAATGTCAATTTCAACCGGCTTATGTTTGAAGAATGCTCCAAAGCGGATCCTGCTTCGAACTACAACCGTTTATTTTGGATAATGTGAACATAATCTTACAGACGAGAAATACCTAATTCGGTAATTGTCAAGAATGCCATAACAAAAACAATTTACCAGTCATTCGAAAACGTTCTAAAGTCCCACAAAAAGTATTTAAAAAACCAAAAAGTATAAAGTAAACGATATACCTATCGTTTCCGAACCACAAGTCAGACTCAATGTTTTAGTGAGACATCGAGAGTCTATATGCAATGAAATGAGTGTTTTCGTAGTAAAAAAAAAAAAACTGACGATATAAATTTAGTGATACTGAAAAATAAATACCAGTATATGGGTAAAAGCGATAAACTCTTACCAACCATACGTACTGCATTAAAGACGAAGGAGGAATAAGTTACGAGAGAGTAAATAAGGCGGCCTTATATTTTATAATTATGTTGTTTTTATAATTATGTAGCAATTGCGTTTAATTTTCCATCCCTCTTTTCTCCTGGTTTCGTCATCCCAACCTGTCAGCTTCCCTGTATTTTTTTAACTCTCATATTTGAAAACGAATGCAAAGTATTTCCTACAAATTATCTCTCCTCTTCTATATATTGATTTCTTTTCCTCTACTCCTGTTCTCCCGTTCTTTAGATCTCCAAATCCTATACAGTATTCTTGAGTCCCAAATATTAAAATGAAATGAAAAGAAGGAAAATTAAAATAAATTATTTACAAGATGGCCTGTGGTAAGACATTTTTAGCAATTCAATATCAAAACCAACTTTTACAAAAGGAAAAATATTTTCGTGGGAAATCTGTTTAATTCATCACTTAGAAAAGTAATAAATTTCCATCTGTCGGAACTAATTTTCAATTTTGACTTTCATTTACTCGAAACTGAAAGGCGCTACTACAATGAACAAAAATTCACTTATCAGGAAATTTTCTCGGCATTTAGAAACTTTTAATGTATTGATAGAGTTCTGCACAGTTTTCAACTTCTACACGAAAACCTTAAAGTGTACGTACTTAAATTTTGCTTAAAGGGCTGGAAAAGAAATACGTGGAGAGCTTTTAAGAAATTTTATGCTACAGAAACTATTTTCTTCTTCTGAATGTCATATGTTCACAAGGTATCTTAATATTGCAATAGCATTGTAGTCACTGAAGATGTCTGCTGCAGTTGCAGATGAAACGTTTGGGCACAGAATGTCCAATAGACCACGGCTATTCGGTCCAGAAGCAATAATAATAGCATTGTAGATTTATACAAAAATAATACTCCCTTATTATAACACAAAATAATAAGCTACTTGTAATAGAAATTTACAAATTTTATTCCCGATAAATTATTTTAGAGAAAACATCATCAAAATTGCTTTAGATGTTCTCGAGAGAATTCTAAGAATTCCAGAGAGACAGTTTTTATGTCACACAATTAATGATAATCATATGAAAATATAAGTGTTTTAAAAAATAACGGGATCACTTCAATTTTATTAACATTATTTTCAAGTCCCACGAACAAAATATTGTAGTTCTGTAACACAGTTCAAATCGATACATCTCGCTTTTGAAACGTTTAAAACAATGCATTACTGCGATGAGAGGCAAGAGGATGTGGGTATATTTTCAAATGTTTTAAATCACAAATTCCATGTGGAATTAACCCACCCAACAGTTCGTGTCCGCTCAACCGGGCACTAACTTGAACCGTATTTTTTAGCGTGTACAATTCCAAGGGTTATTAAAATGTGTAGAGAGTTGCTTGTAAAGCTGAACAATCGTTCACAAATTAGGTTGTGAAGTTCTGAAAGAAATAAACATTAATAGAAACATTAAGATAAAAATTAAGATTAATAGAATACACATTAAGAAAAAACTCTTTAAAAGTTTTGAACAATACTGTGCATTACTCAGTTTTCAGCTGCTTGGAAATAAAATTATTATATATGTGTGTGTAATGCATTTTTTAAAGTCATGCGTTGATCCTAAATGATAAACAGAATTGTATTATTCAATTATGTTTTAAATTCAAAAAATATTTCTTGCTGTGTTTAGGTTTATAATTAAACTGACAGGGAAATTGCTTGAAATGTCTTCAATTAATGGCACTTTTTACCAAAATTCGTTATAAAGATGAACACACAGAAACTAAGCAAGATACAATACATTCAGCTCTGTTATATGTACTATCAATGACTTGCATACAAAGTTCATTTATTCACAAAAAGTACAACTGAAGTTTGTAGTGGCCACACAAATAGTAGCCTCTTCAAGATATTTTCCCTGAACTAAGTTTCTTTAATAAAATTGGCATTAGCGGAAACTAACATTTTCAAAGCCTTCAGAGTTCAAAAATTCAAATATAAATTGTAATAATTCTCCCAAACTCATAAAAATGTTTTTCTAATATACTCATCCTTTGTATCTGCTGCATACTTCTTCGAATATCTGTAAATGATTCTGATACGTACATTTAAAGGGGAAAGAGTCTTTATCGCGGATTGTATAAAATCCTTTTCCTTTCATTTCGCTCCGGCTAAAATGCTGGGAATCATTTGAATCAATGATTTTAAATCATTTCAATTTGAAATGATTAATTGCGATGTTGAAATTAAGAAGCAAGTGCGCAATGTAAAAGTAGCCGAAATAATTCATCAATTTATTCGTCGTTTAAATAAATAGGCGTCGTTTAAATAAATAAAAAGGGGTTCAATATGCAACTTCATGCAAGAGCATAAACAATTATGATATAACATACGATACGCTCACTAATTATAAAAATATAACCTTCAAATAATATTTTTGATTCAGCTGCAAATGTCGATCGCACCAACATATTCTTGATTAAATATATAAAATATTTAACTTATATTACAAGAAAACAGATCACTTACCGAAAATAACGGCACCTTTCACACTTGGAGAGGGGGTTGCTTCTTCTGAAAAAGAAAAACATATTTGATTTTTCTTGAATCGTTCAAAATTTCCATTATAACATTTATAGAGACGTTCAGTGAGTGAGAAAATATTTTTTTTGTTCAATACGCGAGATCTACTTAAATTATGGGACGGATGAGCGGTCTACATTCGACTTGCGGATGAAATTCCATCATCTTCGTCACCCGAATATTTCCCCAAGATGCCCCACCCATGACATGCTGTACGATCGTCCAACGCGGCACTTTTCAGGTGATGTAAACCCTCTTTCACACAGCTACGCCCCCGCGCCAATGACATCGCGACAACAGATTGCAACATTCAGAATTGCCAACATTATTTAGGGAAGGATTCGAAACCATATAAAAATGTTTGTAAATACACACCGGTTATGCACACATTCTAGTACAAATAATTTTTAAGTTTTATTGCTTATTATAGATATTAATGCAAAGCAAATAGATGTAAAGCAAATAACGGATGGGTTTGAAGTTCATGTGCCAAGGCGCATCCGAGATTTATAACCAACCAGTGGTGAAGGTATAACGGTTAAAAAGTATTCTTGTGGCAATAAACAGTGACAATGATCTCCCCAATTTCAAGTAATCCAGTTTTCTTCTTTTACAAAAAAATAGTTTTAAATTTGAGGGAAGGGAAAAAAAACGCTTTCGTATAAAAGGAAAGGTGGGATAGGGCTACGCCCCATTGCCGGATTCGACACCATTGAGTGCGTAACATTTGATTCATAGAGTACAGTAGAAAAGCGCCATATTTGGCAACACTGGTGCCGTAAGAGAGCGCACTTTACTCTTAACTTTGGACGCGTCACAGAATTATTGCTTTCTCGCTACTGCTTACGCACTTCAGAGAAAGTATTGTAATGCTGTAAAACCACCGCGGAATTTACTTTTTTTTTCAATTAAAAAAATTGGAGGGTGGTGATGCAATTCTGGTTTGAGTTTCGTATTCAGCGCACGGACTTACATAAAGAAACACGTCTAAAGTCTTTGGATCTGACAACAACCCCCGAGAACATAAATACAAAGTCACGGAATTTTTCCGCGATTTAAACAAACTGGAGGAGGATGGCGCAAATTCGGATTCACCATGTAGACATACATAGAGAAACATGTGGCAAGTGTTTTTGTCCCCTAACTTCTTTTGTGAGCTTGTGTTATAGTTAAATATCGTGAGATTTTTGAATCGTTTCTACTTGTCACATTTATTCCTAAGTTGAGACTTTTTACGATTCAAGAGTGCAACTTTCGTGAAGAAATTCGCATGTTTCGAAGGAACAGCAGTCCGTTCTCAGATCGAGCACCGGAAGCCACGGTTTTTATGTTCTCCTAATCCCACTCTCCGCAGCGGAGAAATTCCCAGCACAAATCAAAGCGCACCCTCCTCCTGTTTTTAATCTTCAAGAGCGCCTTACGTTGTTTTTTCAAATTAGCAAATTGAATTGCTGCATCCCCTTGCCAACAGTGATTTGTTTCTACGGCTGAAATTCTATTCTCCCTTCTTCACTCCCCAATTTGCATGCAGCTGTATTAATTTACTTCCGCCCTCCGCGAAGACAATCAAAAAAAGAAACAAAAGAAGATCCGAGCGCGC